GGGTTTTTTTTTTTTTTTTTTTTTTTTCTCCTGTTTGTGAATGAAATTGCACAGCTTCCTATGAGTTAGGGATATCTGTAATCTCTTCAGTGGCTTTCCATGTCCTTAATGTTTCGTTTGTATATTTACTGATCTGCAAGAGTATTTGTGTATGTAGAGGAATTAACTTCCATCTTTCATGCTTTTTAATCATCTGGGATGATAATTATTGAACCAAATTATATACAAGGGGAAATCAAAAGTATCTTTAACAAATATCTCTTAAAACTGGGTAATTTTAAGAATTGGGCAAGATGTTCTTTATAGCACTTTTGAAACAAAAGATGTCCTTCCTCTCTCCCAAAAAAGTAATAAATTGAGAGACAGAATCAAAACAAAACAAAACTGCTGTCTATTGAGTGTCCTTTTTTATTTATTTACTTATTTTTGCCTCTTAAGAAACCACCACAGGGGCTGGAGAGATGGCTCAGAGGTTAAGAGCACTGGCTGCCCTTCCTGAGGTCTTGAGTTCAATTCCCAGCAACCATATGGTGGCTAATAACCATCTATAATGAGATCTGGTGCCCTCTTGTGGTGTGCAGGCATATATGGCAGCAGCAGAATGTTGTATTCATAGTAAATAAATGAATCTTAAAAGAAAAAAAAAACACAGTAAAGGGACAGAAAAACATTAAGGTGTTAATTAGTTGGTATGTAAGCCTAAGATAAAGGGGAAATCATTCCCCACAGAACATATGTGTGATTTTCCTAGTGTTGGTTAGGAAGAAACTTTGATAACTGCAAACTACTTCGTGGATGGATTTCTCACAGAGTTGCTAGAGAATTACTTAATATCTAGTTCTACTGTGGGTCAGATTTACTTCATGCCCTAGAATTCAAAACAGTCATTAACAAAATGTTTTCTTGTCAGGTTCCAGATGAGATGATTCAGTGTGTGGTCTGTGAAGACTGGTTCCATGGCAGGGTAAGGGAAACTCTGACCTTTTAAGATGTGTTCCAGGGAACATTATGGTACATGCCTATCATTCTAGCACTTGGATGGAGAAAGATCAGGAGTTCAAGGCCACCCTCAGCTACTTGAGATCCTGGCTCAAAAATAAATAAATGACTCACTGGGTCAAAGAGCACATCTTGGAAAATCCTAGTATTTGGGAAGCAGAGACCGGCAGATCACTGTGAGCTCAAGGCCAGTCTGATTTATGTAGTGATTTCCAAACCCACCAAGGACTACACAATGAGACCCTGTCTCAGGAAAATATTCTTTTGTTGTATTTTACAGTCTCTTTGATAAAGATGTGATCAATGTACTTCTGCAGTGTCTGTTTATAAAACAACAGGCATTCTAGAGGACTTGGAGATCATAGGAAACATCTGGTTTTCTATATCCACAGCATCTCGGTGCCATTCCCCCGGAGAGTGGGGATTTCCAAGAGATGGTGTGCCAGGCTTGTATGGAACGCTGTTCTTTCTTGTGGGCGTATGCTGCCCAGTTGGCAGGTACGTGTTTCTGTGAGGTTGATGTGACACAAATTTGTACTTGTGAAATGTGTGTCTTCAATCTAGGATTTCTAGCAGCTATTTTTAACTGGACTTTAGGGAGATCTAGAAAACATCCAGCTATGTCCTTTTTCCACACAGTGCTTTTAGACTGGGTGAGAACCTACCAAGAACAAATGTGAACTTGGATGCTATGATGCAGAGTATTGACACAACCAGAGTTAGAGAAAGTGCAGGAGGAAGTTATTTGCATGGGGTTTTGAAAGATAAATAGAACTATAGTTAGTAGTTAAATATAAGACATGCTTTAAAGGGTTTGACATTGTAATTCTTGGGTTGTAACACATGCCTTAGACGTGCCAATAATAAATAAGGATTATACACAGTAAAGGTCAAGGTGCCAGATGTGAAGGGCATTGTTCATACACGAGCTTTCTGTTTGTCCTCACATGAAGAACATACAGGCTTCTCTAGGAACACTAATTGTACTTGTGAGGAAAGGAAGGACCTAATCACCTTTTTTGGGGCAGGGGGTATTTTCAGACAGGGTTTCTCTGTGTAGCTGTGGCTGTCCTGAAACTCACTCTAGACCAGCCAGGCTGGCCTCCAACTCAGAGATTGGTGTATCTCTGTCTCTGGAGTGCTGGGATTAAAGGCCTTCACCACCACTTCCCTTGCCCTAATCAACTTCTAAAGGCCCTACCTTTTAATGCAACTGCACTGGAGGTTGACTTTTAGCATTTGGATTTTGCAAAATGTATATATCCCACCTGTAGCAGTGAGGAAACAGCATATTATGTAGGTTACACACCAAGAAATGGAATAAAAACACAAGCTATCACAATGGGGGGTTGTCAGTGTACCACTTACACTGGACGTATTTTCTGCTGGACAAATTTCTGCTAATTTCTTGTCCTCACCTTTAAGGACTTTGAGCATAGAAGCCACAAGCAGCATAGCTATGCCTAAGATCTCTTCTTTCTACACTGGTTGCTCTTTCTGTTCATTGTCCTTCCAGATACAGATCAGTTTCCTGCAGACACTTGAGCTATATATATTTCCCACTGGGTTTTCTTTTTTGCTTTTGGCTGGTTGGTTGTTTTGTTTTGTTTGTAGTGCTAAGGATCAAATACAGACCCTCACACATGCTAGGCAAGAACTATCTTCTGAGCCACCCAGCCCTGTCTGGTTGTCTTTTTCAAGGTCTCTCTGTCATTCAGGCTGACCTCAAACCCTCGATCCTCATGTTTTCCTAGTCATCCCCTTCCCTGTTGGGTGCTTTACCCTAGATCGTAAGCCCATTACTCACCATTTGTCATTTACTGTCTGTCTCTAGACCCATTCTTTCTGACTCCCTCCTCCCAACTAAACACTTGTGTTTTTCAGAACTGTCTTTTTCCTGTTTCCCTGCCTACCACCTGTTTCTTTAGTTAGCCTTTCTTTTAACAGCTTTAGTATATCCTTTATGTATAAAGTGTTTATGTAGTGACTAATATTTTTTAATGAACCATTTATTTGGGTTAGACAGGCATAATGTTCAAAAGTAGTGCTAATTCCTTTCTTGTTATTACAGAGACTCGGGCCGCCTTTTTTCCTAGTCCAAGATATTTTAGAAGAATGTGATTTCTTGATCAGAGAGGCCAATACAGCTGTGTTATTTGTTTCCTTGAACCCACAGTCACCAAAGTATCTGCTGAAGATGATGGGCTGCTGCTGAATGTTGATGGCATGGGCGATCAAGAGGTTGTCAAGCCTGAAAATGGAGGTCACCAAGATAACACCCAAAAAGTGGATGTTCCAGAGCATGAAATGAATGCTGGCAAGGAAGTTAAAGCTGAGCAGCAGAGTGAGCCGTGTGCCAGCTCCAGCTCTGAGTCTGACCGCCAGGTAGTGTATGAACTTCAAGCCATATATATGTGAAGTGAAACTAAGGGTAGGATGATAGCATAGTCAGCTGAGTGCTTGGACCTGAGTGTGATCCTCAGGGATCATGAGAAAAGGGTGGGCATGGGCTGGGGAGGTGGCTCAGCTGGTACGGTGCTTGTCATACAAGCGTGAGGGTTTCAGTTCTTTAGCACCTGGGTAAAATAACAAAATGGCCAGGTGGGCATGATGGCACACATCTTTGATCCTAGCACTTAGGAGGCAGAGGCAGGAAGATCTCTGAGTCTGAAGCTGTTCTGGGGTACATAGCAAGTTCCAGGTTAACCCAAGTTGCATAGGGGTACCCTGTCTCAAACGACAGCCAAGCCTGGTACAGTATGCGCCTCTATCTCAGTGCTGGGAAGCTGGAGATGAGAGGATCCTTGGAGTTGGCTGATAGACATTCTGGCCAATCATTGAGCTCTAGGTTCAGTGAGAGACCCTGTTCCAAACACCAAAGTGGAGAAGTTCATTGAAGAAGACACTTGAATATCAATGGCCGTCTTTACACTCGTGAGCATGAATGTGGGTACACGCACACACAGCTGGTTAAAACCAATGGCAGTTGTTTCAGAAGACCTGGGGTTCAACTTCTAGAACGCACATGGTAGCTTACAACTATTGGTAACTCCAGTCCCTGGTAATTGGATATCCTCATAGCACTGGCATGTACATGGTACACCAATACAAATAAGAATACAATATTTTTTTAAACTTAAAAGTACAGAAACTCTCCAAAGCTACACACAGAAACCCTGTCTTGAAACCCCCCCTTCCAAAAAAAAGTACAGAAACTCACACTTCAAAACTTAATTTTATTTCAGACAGTGTTCAATAGTGAAAACACCAAAACCGAACTGAAGTCTGCCTGCAGACTTCAGGAGCTCCAAGCCAAGCAGTTTGTAAAGAAAGATGCTGCCACCTATTGGCCCCTGAACTGGCGCAGCAAGTTGTGCACCTGCCAAGACTGTATGGTGAGTGTGTGGCTCCACTTGGTGGTCATAGATTATGCAATGCACATTTTTTTTTTTTTTTTTTTTTTTTTTTTTTTTTTTTTTTTAGAAAGGGGTTTCTTC